GTAAATTAGATCCTAGGGAAGTAATGTCCCTACCGTATGATGTTTGTTGAATTAAAGAAATTATGGTTTGTATATGAACTCATAGTGTATTTTGTAAGTCTGCAGAAGTTGATTAAAGCCATTGTTACCAATTGGAACTGGGACCATTGAAAACCAATTGGAATTGGGGCCAGTTAAAGTTGAATAGTCCAAAAACACACAACACCCACATTTAAAAAAAATTTTTTTTTTAGAATACACAGATTTTCTATATAAAATCGTTCAATTTATATACACTTTCTATATACAGTAATTGTATAGAATTTCTATTCGCATATTTAATGTATTTTTATAGGTTTTTTTCTTTAAAATATTAAATTGTTTATAGATTTTCTATAGTTTTTTAAAGGTTTTTTTTATATAAAATTTTCATAGACTTTTTATAGAATTTTCATAGTTTTTTTATATAATTTTTATAGATTTTTAAGTGGTTTTTATAGAATTGTTTATAGATTTTCTATAGTTTTTTAAGGATTTTTTTTATATAAAATTTTCATAGACTTTCTATAGAATTTTAATAGAATTTTCATAGTTTTTATATAATTTTTATAGATTTTTAAGTCTTTTAATATAGTTTTAATATATTTTTTATAGAGTTTTTATAAATTTTTTATAGTTTTCTTATATATTTTTAATAGATTTTGAATATAGTTTTAATAGATTTTTAATAGACTTTTTATAGTGGGCTTCTATAGTTATTTCTATAGAATTTTCTATAGATTTTCTAAACAATTATGCTATAGACATTCTATAGTTTGTTTTTTTATAGAATTCTATAGAATTTTTTTGTATGGGAGAGGCCTAGGCTGGACAGGCCTAAACTGGTAGAAAAAGGAGATAACTCAACTCGTCTCTGCAAATCCTTTTCCACGCATTGTCATATTTTCTTTGCTCCCTTGTCACAGACCTAAACAAGGGTAGCCTACTGTTCCACAGAGTTTGCGTAAAACGGACTCGTCTGTCATTGTTCGCACTTCTGTTTATTGTTTTGACAATGGTCGTGACTTTATTGTTGACCTTTGACATAAATTGAATCTAAGCCTTGCGATTGGTCCATCGGCCGCGAATTCGCTCGCGAATCCGAAAAAGTTGGTCTTGGATCAACTCTTGTGAATTCGCAGGCAAAGCCTCCGCGACCACCGCGCGCACCGCGTCGAAGTTCGAATATTGGGCGTTCGTGTGTTCGACTACAAATTCGTTTGCATGTTCACATTGGAAACGCCAGTCGCGTCTTCGATTCAGCCGCGCGCGCGACACATTTCGACGCGAAAATCGCTTGATCGCGTTCAGTGGGAACCGGCCTTAAAGAAAATCCCTATAAAATTGTTAAAATACATTTAAAAAAAATACAGGTAAGGAATATAATTTTTTTATTGAATAAATATAGAAATTTTATAGTTTTATTATAGAGAACTTATCATATCATTTGTATAAAATATTCTATAGAATTTCTATAGAATATGCAAGATGTAAAACATGTTGGTAGGACTATACTGGTCAGACACGAATGTGTCAATAAAATATTGAATGAAACAAAAAAAAATTAAAAACATAGAAAATACATTAAATATGTGTATATAGTTTGTTTCATAATTCTATAGAAACTAGTTCCTCTATAAAACAATTTTATAGAAAATAATTTCTGTAGAAATTGATTAGTCTCTATAGAAGCAATTCATGATAAATTCGCTTTCAACGACGAGTTATGATTTTCAACTTAGGAAGACTCAATTTAATTGTTGAATTCACTATGAAAAGTTAGTTGTGTCATATACAATTATATGTTACAGTTCAACTGCTTCGTGGACAAGCATGTGGAGGTTGTCTATGGCGATTCCTCTTCGGCAGCTTAAAGAACATCTTCATCTGACTTGTCAACCGTTTAGTAGCCTACAGTATACTACTGTGTATTTCTCTTGAAAATAGCTTTACATCTTTTGCTCAGATATTCTGATGGTTTAGATAACTAACTCACTCGTCGTCCCTACCTATTCTCGTGTCTTTCTCAACCCCTGACACTCACTATTTGGAATTTCTTTTGAACATATTCTATTTGTTGTTTCTGAAAATCTTGTGTTTTTTTCTTCTTTTCTTTTAATGTGAAGGTGCGTATTTAATAAGTGTTGAATATCTTTTCAGTAAAATTCTATCAGCTTACTCATCATATTCTTCATATCCACACCTATTTGCTCAATATGGTATACATGGTACAACACAAGATTTAAATATTTCACTCCATTAACTTTTTGTCCAAATGTTCAGTCTTATGATCACATTCTTAAATATCTATCTCGCTTAGGAATACAACAATCAGCCTTAATTCTTACTGCCTACTTGTAGAGCTGAACGTTTCAAATATTCATTTCTTCCATATTCTCTAAATGTCTATCCGTTTTCTGCCAAGAATGCCTTTATTTGTACTACTCTGCTACATTGATCTATTTTTAATTTTTTTTTAAATGATTTTTTTGGCTATTGCAAACATATAGTGATGATTTTAAATGTAATGTTTTTTGTATGGCAGATAATAGTCGACTGATGGCTTTTGGAGCAAATGAAAATTAAATTAAAATATTAGACTTTAGAAGATAAAAAAGTTACCATGGGAATATGCAAGTGTCAGTTGAATGTCTTTTAGCATAACCTAATTCTGATTTGTCCAACAGTGTTTGATTATCAGGTCTGTTTTCAAATTCCTGTAACTATCTGATTTTCTAGTGCACAGAAGCTTATGTAGGACTTTTAAAATAATATTAATAATAATAATAATAATAATAATAATAATAATAATAATAATAATATGTTAGATTTATATAGCACTTAACGCCAACCCCCAGTCATTGGATTAAACGCCTATGGAACACAAACTCAAGGTCCCTGGGGGATTATTTTATAGCGTTGCAGCAGATACATCAACGCATTTTGGCATTTAACCCTACGAGGCACCCATGTATACTCTTGGGTGGAGAGAAGCAATGCAATACAGTGCCTTGCCCAAGGACACAAGTGAAATGCACAGCGAGGGGATTAAATCCATCTTCGGGACAGAAAAACAAATGATTATTAACGTATCCTTTTCTAAGTTGACCTTCTGCAGACTGGTATATGTTGGCGAACAGGTTGATTTAGCGACACGTTCGCAGTGATCATTTCTTTAAAAATTCCATTATTTTTTGGTGGTTCAATACAAAAGACATTATGGTATATTTGAAATTTGTTTTCCACTTTCTAAACTAGGCCAAATGTCATATGCCCTCCATACTCAAACTCCTGTAGTTGTAAATTCAAATTTATTAAGAAGGCTTATACCATCCCACTTGCAGTTCTTCATATGTTGGCCTATGTAGGCCTATAATAATAATCATTTCTTTTAGTTTGTCCCTACAACACTGATAAGTCTTGTGTTCTACCACTTCTTCTTGCAGGGATTGGAATTTATGCCTATTTGGTAACTTATGACTTACAAAACCCAGGGTTGCGCCAGGGGGCTGGGGGTAGGGGAGCTTCACATTAATAATAGACCCTAAAATCGAATAAAATAAGGCATTGAAACCCCTAAATGCTGTAATTGGACCACCATCTGGGACATAGGACTTCTTGTCTGGCAAATCTTAGCACCCCCTACCACGACCAAATATATGGTTTTTATTTTTTCACGATATTGCCTGATTTGTCCTGACAAGAAGGGGTGTTGCATGATGTTGGTTAGGGAGGAGAGGGTGTTTTTCAGGGACTGGCATTCCCAGGCAGTTTAAGGTGCTGTGTCTAACTGGTGACACCATTAACAGAAATTGGTGTGTATAAAGTGATATTTATTATAAACTCTACCCTTAATTAAAGGGTTTAAAATACCGCTAAAACAGAAAATTGACAAAATTTATACCGCAAACATTGTTTTTTTTTTATCACAACATAATTTAAGGTATTGAAAAACATTTATCATTGTTCTCATCAAAGGAATCTATGAATAAATCAGCGGAACAAAGTGGTAAATTTTACTATTATAATTTTTTAATGAAAAATGACAGTTTTTCTGGCAACACTGCTCATACGTTTTTTAACTACCCACATTTTTTAAACTATAATTCTCTAAGGGAGCCTTAGAACAGCCTATTTGTAGAAAATCAGTTCTAAAAAAGCACCACTTTGAGGTTTATGGGCAATTAAATTTGGAGGTTTTTCATAATTTGAAAAAAAAAGAAAAACACCCCTTTTTAAAAACA